GCACGGCGTTTAGAATCTAAATGGGATCTAAAAAGGAAAAACGTATGCGCATGTATACATACAGGACACGATAGAGTGATTAGACTCAAGCTCCCACACTATTCTTCATTCATTTTTTTCCTACGATGAAGAAAAATGTCCCCAGTTGGAGGCCTCTGAGCATGTGCGTAGTGTAGGAGCAGACTGGGCTCTGCGTCGGTCCCTCTGCTCCTGCCGGTGTTGCCAGGTGCTCTGCAGAGCAGCTTAGCAACAGCTCAGGCCACAGATGCCTGCATCCTCATCGCTGCCGTTACCAAGCACACAGACTCAGTGGGGATGCATAGGACTCACTGCCTGTCTGCAGAAGCACCAGGAGCAGAGAGAGAGAAAGGAGGGGAGAGGAATATGACCTTGACGCGACTTCCCCTCAGCCCTCTCCCAGGAGCAGAGGAGCACGGGGAAGAGGGCCTCCGGGCTCTGCGGTGTTGCCCTTCCGGGGTGGCCCGGGGTGACCTTGGGGAAGGACACACACCGAATTTCCTTCTCCAGCAGGCCCTGGACTCTGAGCAAGAGCTGCCAAGTCCGGGGAAGACTGGAGATGGAAAGGCTAGAACCACTGAAGCCCTCACGAAGGTGGCTTCTCGGGGGCAGTGTAGCCCGGGGTGAAGAATGCAGGCATTGGCACCACAGCACTCTAGGTTCCATGCAAGCCCTGCCCTTTGCCAGCAACTTGGCATCAGGCAAACTGGCCTCTTTGTGCCACGATTTCTTCGTCCATATAATGGGTAGGTGAAGGATACCGTTGCCTTGTTGGCTTGTAGAAGGGATGAGACAAGCCCACATGTGGCAAGCACCATGTCTGACATAAGGAGCCCTCCGTAGATGGTGGTTGTTGCCTTGCTCCAGGACCTCTCTTTCCCCGGTGACTGGCAGCCCCTGGCAGCCTCCCTGGCCCAGTGTTGACTTGCATGTGGCTAGAAATATATTGTATTCAGTCGTGAGTTCGCAAGTGACGGATCATTAAGGAAGCACCGAGTAACTAGGGTGGATCGATGCAGACCGTGCATGGCGGAGACCCCCGCCAGGCGTTCCCGGAGCTTCGCTGGCGCGGGAGCTGCTCGGGTGTTTGATTTGTGTGTTTGTTTTCACGCCTGTTCTGTCAGATCAGCTGACAGCCTGAAGGGCGCTCGCCAGACAAAGAAAGACACACGTGCCAGTTAAGTGAGACCTAAAGCAGGCTTCAGACCCATCCCCGAGTATGCTGGGTTTGGCTGATGGTAATGCTCCTTTCGTCCTCCACTCCGAGTGTTCGTGGCTGGGAGTTCGCATCTTTGCCCGCTTGCTGCCAGCTGTGGGACTGGGCTGTGTGTAGCCTCCTCCAGGTGAGCCGGCTGTATAGAGACAGGTGTGTACACGGCCTCACCCCCGCATGGAAGGGCCGTGTCCCAAGGGATGGGCGGGGCAGTGACTAAAAGAATGGAGAGGCCTCAGCTCCAAAGGGTCTTCAGCGCAGCTCAGCGGCCGAGACTCGGCTCTCGAGCCAGTGAACCTGAGTGTGCGTCCGGCCATAGCTCTTCCCGGCTCCCTGAGTCTGGACACGGGACTTCACATCTCCGGGCCTCAGTTTCCTCCTGGTTGACATGGGGATGGCAGGAACACGTAGAGTCCGCCTCCTAGAGGTGAAATGTTAGCCAAGCCTTGCCGAGCTCAGCCTAATGCCTGACGTCTAAGCACTTATGGCTGCTGTTGTGGCTACCCTGGCCTTTACACTGAAACAGCTGACTGTTCACAGCGACCCACTCCTCCCCAAGGCAAACTCTGATGCCCCTGGGGTGGGGTTAACCTGTGACTCCTGGCCTTGGCATCTCGGTGGAGCTGGGTGCCCAGCCAGTACCCACGGCAGCACCCACAGCGGGAACGGCAGAGAAAAGACCCCCCCCCAAGTCCCGAGAGTAGAGGGGGCACAGCCACGTCCCTGCAGGTTAATAGGCTCAGATGGGAGCTGTTTGAAAATCAGACCTTTGGCTCAATGGATAGAGCGTCGGCTTGGGGACTGAAAGGTCCCAGGTTCGATTCCGGTCAAGGGCATGTACCTTGGTTGCGGGTATATCCCCAGTAGGGGGTGTGCAAGAGGCAGCTGATCGATGACTCTCTCTCATCGATGTTTCTATCTCTCTCCCTTCCTCTCTGTACAAAATCAATAAAATATATTTTTTTTAAAAGAAAAGAAAATCATACCTTTACACTCTGTTTGCATATATTATACACATTCAGATCACTCTTCTCTCATCTCTCACAGCCTTTGTACGAAATACCTGTGGCTACGGAGGCTGTGTGGTGCCTCCTAGCCCCTCAGACTTTCTGGTGACTTCGGGTCCCGGTTTCCCCTTTTTCTAACCTATGGAGAGGCCGTGTGATCAGAGGCAGGAGCAGAGGGTGTCAATGCTGTGCCCCCTCCCCCACACCAAAGGGGCAGGCTGTTCCTTCTCGGTTTTACTTCCCTCATTCACAAAACAGGGCCCACCCCTTGCCTGGGCAGAGTAAGGACGGAAATAGACGATGGCCGTACATCAGCTCCACTCCATAAACAGCAGCTCTTCTGGGATGGTAGCAGTAAAGCTTGGTTCCGTGATGGACCGTCTTGAGCTGGATTAAATCACCAGCTGAGTCAGCCCCTGGGGGCAGGTATCCCCTCCTGCTCACGGGCTCGTCCCACCCTCAGCCTTGCACCTCCCCTAAGTGGAAGTATGTGATTAGGAACCGCACGCCCCGTGCTGACCTGACTTGCACGGGCACTTGGACTGCAACCAAGGAGCAGCGGGTCGGCTTGCAAAGCTGAGAGTGTTCTCATTGCTAACGGGTAGTGGCTTCCTCCTGAGGCACCAACCAGCCACAAGTGGCAGGGGACTCTCAGGATTCCTGGAGAGCAGTTGCCACCTGCCTGGCAGCCCCAGAGACCCATGGAGCTGCTGTCTGAGCTGAGAAAACCCAGCTGAACTCAGCTTATCTAGAGAACGCAAATGTCCTGGAACAACTCAGCCAAGGCGGCCTGCCTGAACGGCCTAGGTGGGTGGCTGTGAGATCAGGCCTCTGAGACCTCATGGCATCTCTGTGGCTCACGATGAGCCAGCCAGGTCCCTGCCCAGCCAGCCTGCGTGCACACACACAGACACACACACAGACATACACACACAGAGAGAGACACACAGACACACACACACACAGACACACACACACACACACACACACACACACACACACGCCCCTCCAGTGGCCACAGAGGCCTTCTCAGCAGACCGTGCAGTCTCGACTGCACACTCTTCACCCAGCACCCTGGAATGATCTGTCCTGATGCTCCCTCTCGCCTCCCCCCACCCCTCCTCCGCCCTTGTCTCCCCCTTCCTCTGGCCTGGGGAGTGATTTGTCTGTGTTATGGGTCGGCCTGACAAACCCTTCCACATTAGCAGCCGAGATGTTGTTTGAAATGGGAAAATTGCTGGCAAACCGCTCCATTAGCCGTTCCAGTAACAGATCTACCGTCCCCCGATGAAGATGAGACCGCGGAGGCAGAAATTAATACGACTGTCTCCCCCCTCTGCAGCGGGGATTACTCTCCAAGATGAATAGGTCCGTCCCGGCCAGGAGTGTGCAGCCGCCAGACGTGGCCTTGATGGGAGCTGGCTCCTCCTGTGGCTTCTTCCTACCCACTCCCTCCCCCCACCCTCGCACCTCCCCACACACCTTTCCCGGAGTCTTCCCGCTGAGGTTTGGGGAGCCCCCACGCCAAATGAGGAGGTGTCGAAAGGATCCGCACCTCGGAGACAAGGGAGATGGATGAGGGGAGAGGCTGTGTCCTCAGCCTGGGCCGGGCCATCACTCAGCCCCTCTCACAGAGGCCGCCTCCCGCCCAGGCCTTCCCCGCCACACCTGTTCCCGGTGACAGGAAGGCATTTGAGAGACGAAAGAATAAAGAATGGACGTGTGCACTCGCTCCCCACGGCCCCTACCCTTCCACGGAAGCTCTGGGCCCTGGGCCTGAGGCAGCTCTCGTCTTCCCAGAGTGATAGGAGAGGATGCATCTCAGGGGAGTCTGTAAGACTTGAGAGCCCTAGATTGGAGCGGCTGCCCGGGGCAATAAGTGGTCCAGCCAGGTCCCCTGACACCACGAGGATGATGAATGTCAGGCAGGAGCTAAAGATGGGAAGCCTGTTCCTCACCAGATTAGAACAGCCCATTAAAAAAATCAGGAATAGCCTGGCCAGTGTGGCTCAGTGGTTGAACATCAGCCAATGAACCAGGAGGTCACGATTCAGTTCGTAATCAGGGCACATTCCCAGGTTGCAGGCTCGATTCCCCAATAGGGGGCGTGCAGGAGGCAGCTGATGGATGACTTTTCTCTCATCATTAATGTTTCTATCTCTTTCTCCCTCTCTCTCCCTATTCTTTCCTCTCTGAAATCAATAAAGATATTTTTTTAAAGAAAGAAAGAAAACCCCAGGAATAAATATTGAGTCATTAGACTATTCACCTGAAACTAATATAATGTTACTAGTATATGTCAATTATTCCTCAAAAAAGAAAAAGACAAGAAAAGAAACCCAGACATGGAGTCAGCCGCTATTGTGTGTGCCTGTCCAGGACCCCGTGGCAGTGCTATGTGAATAGTGACACTTCCACCAAGTGTGGCTGGCCTGGTCCTTCGCTTTTTACTCTCTTCTCTCTCCCCTGACTTCCCGGCGCTCTCTCTGTTACCCCCGGAGCTTTTTCTGAAGAAGCTGCTGCCTGGAAGCCAGCTTACGATGAGCAGGAGCCGGGTCCTCAGGGCATGTCACCTCTTCTAGCCCCGGACGGGTGCCCCATGCAGCAGAACACCGTCTCTGGCTTCTGCTCGGTGCCTGCCTGGCCTCCTTGACCCAGAATGTGCACCACCTGCCGGGAGGGACCCTCCTGTCCTCGAAGCCCTCAGCGCCCCCGGGTGGTGGATGGACGGCTAACGGACTCTCCTCTGCTCTGTTCCCCAGACGCCTGGAGCAGAACTCCATCAAGTCCATCCCCGCCGGAGCCTTCACCCCGTACAAGAAGCTGAAGCGAATGTGAGTCTGCACCCGGCACACACGGGCCCACACGTGTTCAACTTGGGGGTAGCGTGTCGTGTGTGGTGGACGGCCTGCTTAGGTGGCAGGCATATCATGTTCCCCGGGCAGTGCCCTGAGCCTGGGAGCTGAGGTTCAGCAGTGCTGCGTTCCAACGGGAAGGGAGGGGGTCTTGGCACCCACACGCCTGGTTGGACAGCGAGGGCCACTCCAACTAGAGCAAAGGAAATGGTCTGGGCAGGAGTGGAGGGAGCTCCTTTGGCCTAAAAACGCCGTCACCTTTCCCGTCGCTGCGTGGCTTTGAGATGTGGACCTAGATTAGAAGCGTCCATGGAAGGTGGCGGTGGCTGTGTCGCTCTGCAGCACTGTCACCAGCATTGCTACAACCACGCACAGCCATTCAACACGCACCCGCTGGGCGGGAAGAGCTGGGTTAGAGTCTGCGGGAGGCCCATGAACTGAGGTGATCTCCCACGGGGCCTCCATGTCTGTGAGAGCACGGGCATGAACTGCAGCCCTCAAAGCTGCTACGCACAGAAAGTAAAACCAGGGAAGGGAGGGGGCAGAGAGTGACGGCAGGTGGGCTTCAGGGGGTTTGTCCTGAGGCCTCTATGTGCAGAGGGCCGAGCAGGGGAAGTGAGTATGCCAGGCAGGGGAGAAGGATGCGTGGAAGGCCGTGGGCAGTGTGCATGGGTGTTTGTGCGAGGGAGTGTGGGTGGGGGAGTGCAAGGGGAGTGTACATATGGAGTGTGCATGAGGAGTGTGCAATGGGGATTGTGCAGAGTGTGCAATGGGGATTGTGCATGGAGAGTGTGTGTGGGGAGTGTGCATGGGGAGTGTGCAATGGGGAGTGTGCATGGGGAGTGTGCGATGGGGAGTGTGCCTGGAGAGTGTGTGAAGGAGCGTGCATGGGTACCGTGCAATGGGGAGTGTGTGTGAAGGACTGTGCATGGGGAGTGTGCATGGGGAGTGTGCATGTAGAGTGTGCAAGGGGAGTGTGGGGGGGGAGCGAGTGAGGAATGAAGTGGTGCGGACAATGTTGGAGAGGCAGGTGAGGCCTAGATCCCCAGGACCCTTTAGACTATGGTAAGACCTTTCTATTCTTTCTAAGTGAGATAAGAAGGTTCTTATCCTCCAACCCTATGCCTTGCCCGCGGTTACCCCACCATCGCCGTGACCACCTTACCAGCATCACTGCCACCACGACGTGATCTGAACACCTGGGGGCCCCTTCCCTCCCACAGCAGCACGGAGAGCCGGATGGCCCCCTCCCACCGTTGAGGCAGCATCAGCACCACCCTCCCCATCACATGGCCCCGTGAGCACTGCTCTGTGAGCCATCCGGCCAAGCCCTCTGCAAGGGGCTAGTGGTGTTCAGAAATGGCCCATCCATCCCATCATAGAAGCTACTCAGAACCTGGGGGGTGGGGAGGGGAGACAGGTGACACCATTCCCTCTTCCGGGTTCTAAGAAATCATTATTCCAGCTCAACCATCACAGTGCCCTTTCCACTGCACTTACCCCCTCTGCCCCCACAGGGAGGGGAGAGAGGCAGGGAGATGTGCATGGATTGGTTGTTCCCTTCCACTCGGGGCTGAAGCTTCCATTTCCCAGGAGGACAAGGCCCACGTTAAAGAGGTTACGTGCCCGCTGACTCCTTTTATGTCAAAAATAAACACCGGGCGAAGCAGTGGTTCTGGTAGGCTTCACCCTCAGATCTCAGGAAGCCAACTCCCCGTCTCCCTGGAAATCCAAACCAAACGGGATCTTCTCCTGGTGCAGTTCCAGGCGTGGAAGCCCGCCTAACGAGGCAACCCTCGCACACTCTTCCCTCCCCTTGGCAGCAATCCTGCCGGAGGAGCTGGATAAATGTGGGCCTTAATATTTAAAACCCTGGCCCATTAATCTCCTGGCTCCCTGCCTCCCCGGCTCACTCTCCATAACACCCCCCCCCCCAATTCATTTTTAAAGCCCAGCTTGATTATGCAGCCAGATAGTAATTTCAGTGACGAATGGCAAGTTCCGTCCCTACCCAGCCTATATATCTCTTGCGTTGTTTCAGTTCCCGCTCTGCATTTTTGGTGAAGTCCAGGTAATTTAGAGCTGGGCTGTGTGCTACTGCCCCGTCTTCCCCCTGTTGGACGTGCCGTGATCTGTGGATGCAAACTTCAGAAGGCCCACTCAGGCACGCCCTGGGAAGGGACTCTCACTTTCGATCACTTCTCTTGATGTTTATTATGATACCCCTTCTTCCCCAAGGAAATGGGAGGGGAGAGAGGCCACTCAGCATTTCTCTCCTGCTGACGTGCGGTGACTTGGGGAGAAGCAGGACCCCTGGTGAGGACGGGTTTTAAAACCCTAAGAATGAATTCCTCCTAGGTGTGCGTGGCAAGTAAGTCTCTATTCAATAGCAAACCCCATTTCCCCTCCACCGCATCCTTCTCGAATCTCTAATAATAAGACGACGGTGAAGAATTCTGCCTGAATGAATGGCTTTGTTCCCACCCATTTCCAGTGGTCAGCTTAGTATAACAGCATTTCCGGGAAAAATCCTGTATCCAGGTGGAGAAGCTGTTTTTAGGGAAAGTCAGGGGCACCGGAGAGGACCCCGGGCCTGACGGGGTTGGGTAGCTGGTGACCCTGGCCCTGGGGACAAGCCTGTGCTGCTCGGCCGGGCTGAGCTCTCCACTGGCTCTATCTCAGGGAGAGCAGAGTCCCTCGGGCTCCAACCCGCCTGATTCAGGGCCTATAGGGATCAGCGGGATCCCTATAGGCCCTGAATCGGCTCCTTCTGTCCCAAACTGCCTGGGAAGGCCACGCCCTCTCCGCCTTTGCGTTTATAAGTCCCAGGAGGCTGGGTGGGTCTGAGAATGACCAGATCCTAGGACACTATGGCCTGAGGCATGACTCATGGGCCACCTGCATGGACAGCACCTGGGGATTTGTATGCAGATTACCCCGACTGCCCAGCCAACCCCGTCAGACTCTGCCTTTTAATAAACACCCCGGTGACATTTTTGAGGTGGAGAACTACCGATCGAGAGTGACAAGACACCCAGAGTCTGTCCTGGGACCACCCTGGTAGGTTGGGAGGGGCTGAGCACGGAGACAGGTGGGCATCCTCCGCCGTTCACGGCTGCCTTCCTGTCCAGCCCCGCTGCAAGCCGCTCCATCGCGGGCTCCAGGTGCCCGCTCTGAGCCTGAACAGCCCCATCCGGCCACTCCTGGTCCCCTCCCTTCCCAGGGCTGCCCCTTCTTTCCCACAGATTTAGGGATGAGGACGAAGTGGCCACCAGAGTCAGTTCCCACCTAGACCCTTCCTTCTCCCCACCACCTCCAAAGCCACGAGATATGCACCTAGTGCTGTAGAGGCTGGGACCAGGTCTCGTTGGGGACTGGAACCCAAGTGGCCCCCACAAGGCTAACTCAAGGCTTCCCCACTGGCCACAGAACTGCATGCTGGGCGTCTGAGTACCTCGGGGGGACGTCTAGGATCAGGAGAAACAACAACAGTAATAAAACAGTTGCTCTCAGGCCTGAACGCAGACCTTGCGTGCTCCCCTGAAATTCCTTGCGAGGCAGCCGTGCTGGAGGTGAGCGAGCTTAAGATAATCCGGGCATTTGCTTGCTAAGACCCTTAGACAGAAACGGAGCGCCGAGGAAAGCTGGGGTAAGCCGACGAGTTCGCAAGCACAATCGGTGTATTTGTCAGAGGCCGTCTGGGCAGCTAAAGAGATAAGCCCGACAGCGGTGCCCAAGACGCCTGACCTGTGAAGTGTCTTTCAACCTGCGGGCCTTGGAGGCCGGGAGGGGAGGGAGTGAGGCCGGGGCCGTGGGACTCTGAAGGCTGTTGGGAGGAGAGAAGCAGAGCAGGAGGGGGCAGGAGGCAGTAGCTCAGGAATCCACTTTGATGTGCTTTCTTCTTATTCCCATCTCCTCCTCGTTGACCCGCCATGACCCCAGCTGCCCCTCTTCCACGCAAGAGCAAGGACCTATTGATTTGTTTTGTTAGAGAGAAGGAGCGGGAGGGGTTCCTTGTCGCTGAGATGGGAGCATCTCCCTGTCCAGCGACAGAAGCCTGAGGCCATCCCAGAGCCAGTGGCCTGAGAGACAGTCTTCCTCGGTGAAGAGCCATTAGCAAGAGCTCAAGGCCGGTGCATAGTGGTCCCTGGGATGCTCAGAGGTCGCTGGGATGCTCAGGGGTCGCTGGGATGCTCGGGTCCCTGGGATGCTGGAACACAGCAGCCTCCTGCTCTGAGGAGGCACCCAAACCCCTCCACCAGCCGGGCCAGACCAGCTGCCTTCTCACACAGCCTGCCTCTCGCTCACAGTGTCACCGAACCTGGCATCGTGGGCTGGGGCTGCTCCTGGGCAGGGAGCACTGCCATTGCCAAGCCCAGGTCTCAGTGCTGTCTTGTGGGAACCTCGGGATGAGATGCTCACACGGCTGGAGGATACCCTGAGCCAGGTGAAGCCCCAAGTCCTGCTCAGAGCCTGGCAGGTCAAAAAGGAAACGTCACTGTGGAAGGGAAATGATTCAGGACTTTGGGGAAGAAAATAAGCGTTTGCTGAGGCATGAGGTAGAACAGGCTGCTTAGAGGACCCCAAGCCTGTGTTTGGGGGAGAGGAGGCCGGTTTCTGTTTCATCTGTGTTCTAATTGTCTAATTGCCTGCAGTGTGACCCAGACACGGCCCTGACTTCCCACTTGCCAAAGGAGGGCTTACACGTGCAAAGCCCCGCCCAGCGCAAGTGCCATGGGTGGCGGTGCTTTGAAGTCAGGAGAGGGATGCCCACACAGTATATTCCGTATATTTTGGCATGAGGCGGTTGACTTGAATGGTCTCGACACCCCTTCTTTTGCTCTCTGAATAAATAAATTGGTTGGTGGATTCGTTCTCACCATTTTTGGGTATCTGAAATGCTTGATTCTCATGTAGGAATGGCCGTTATGCCTCTGAGCCACGTTTTCAGACTCTCCCGTTCATGTTTTCAGAGACATCAGCAAGAACCAGATATCAGACATCGCGCCCGATGCCTTCCAGGGCCTGAAGTCGCTCACGTCGCTGTAAGTGGGGAGCAGTTGCCAGGGAGGGGGGAGGGGTTGGGGGAAATGCATCCATCGTTTTCAAGGGGTTCTGTCGAGGCTTTATGTTCCTTTACACACTTGTGGCAGCTTGGTAAGGGAAACAGATATTTCTTCAGGGGACATTGATCTGGGGGACTATTTCTACAACCCAAATGCATTATTCCTATTGATTAGCTGCCCGGCAGCCTTCCCAGTTTATTGGCTTTTAATTCCAATGCATCTTCTACTCTAACCACGCTCCCCCGCCCACCCCGCAGGCCTGGACCGTGCTCTCTGGGGAGGTGGGGAGAGGCTGTAACAGATGTTTGTTACCGATGTTTATGGCCCATTGCCCCACGAATGTGGCCTTGTGAGAGAGGAGCTTGTGTTCTTCCCCCTGTTTTCAGACTCTTTCTCCAAACCAGCTCATGGCGTTGAAGGAAGCATCGGCCCCATCCTCCAAGTCCTTCCTTCCTCTGCTTGGAAACCCTAGGGCCACCCACTGGGTGGAAGTGAAGATTTGCCCGTCCTGGGCTCAGAAACCCCCACTCCCACCCCACCCCAGGGCAGGAAGGGGTGGAACTTTGTCCTGACTGTCAGTGACTCACCCGTGGGCACAGGGAACAGTGATACCTCCCTGCACAACGCACACTCGATGGTGACAGTTGTCACAGCAACTAGAACACCCGGCAGCTCTTCCTGAGCGCCTGCTGCGTACCAGGTGCTGTGCTGGGAGCCCTGCAGCTCCCTCCTCACAGCACCCTCCACACAGACTCCGTCCCCGTCGGAGAAAGCGGGGGACCCAAGCTCCACCCAGACCGGGGTTTTTATCCTTCCAATCCTGGCCGAGTCTCTGGCATCTCAAGCGGTCCCGGGCCCATAGTTATCGCACAAAAGAACCCTCAGTGGACAGATACATGTAATCCCACCAAAGTCCTCCGTGGCCAGCAGGAGTGGCTGAGTTCGGCCCCAGAATCCACGATCCTCACACTCTGCTGCCTCGGGGGGGAGGGAGAGGATGCGGAAAGTAAAGAGTGGACCACAGCCAAGGCATCACCGGCTGGTATTGCTTAGGTCCCTGATGGCCTGCCCACCGGGCCGGAGTGTGGCTGCTCAGAGGCCAGTGCCCACACTCTGCCCGTTTGCTTCATGAGCCCGTGGGCAGGTAAGAAGCTGCACATCCCCCCCGCCTGTCCCACACACACACACACCGAGAAGGCGAGAGGACAGGAGGTATCTCCATGCAGCCTCGACCTTGCCACTCGGAGAGAAAATTAGCTGCATTTATCGGGGAGGACATCTGGCTGGGATGTCAGACAGGGACTGCGGGTGAGATTAGCGTCTGCCTGTCACGCTGACGACCACAGAGGAGACGGGAGAGTGGCCGTGTGCCCCCACCCCTGCCCACTGGCCTGGTCCCCGGGTCCCGCTTCCCCCTGCTGGGATGTGGGAGTCTGAAGACAGCGAGGTGCTTCGGTCCTGCAGGGAAAGAAATTCAAGATATGGTTGCCAGACTTGAAACTGGCCGGCCACTGGCCGATCCTAAACTACATCAGGCACTGTTTAAGGGAAGTGCCCAGTTTGTGCACTCACCCCTCAGTGACAGCCCCTGTGCTGAAGATCAGTGTGGGGACTGAGAATGGCAGTGACCTTGCCTAAGACCGGGGCTTCTTGGGTTTTCAACACGAACACTCAGGCCAAGCTCAGAGTGGCCGTGGGAGAGGGCAGGAGCGCCTGCACCCGTCCCTGTCCACTCAGTCCTTCAACACAGATTGTGCTGGACGCCGGGCCCGTCCTCAGCTCCAGTCACGAACAGGCCACGTGGTGTCACTACAGCCTGTCTTCGTGGGCTGGTGGGAAGCCCAGAGTGATGTTTCTACAACAAATGAGTAGGGGGGTAAGGGGGAGAGGGGGGGGCCCCGCAGGGGAGCAGGTTTACAGCTGTGAGTATGCAAAACACAGTTTATTCTTGTATTATTATTTGTTACTTTCTATACGAACAACTGTAAACCTACTTTTGCCCCACCCTATATATCAGTAATATGATATGATGTCATGAAAAGAGAGAAAGCAGTAAGAATTAGGGGGACAGGCCATACGAAGCAATAATCAAAATATTCAGGAGAGCCTTCCCAGGGAAGAGAGGGTGGGGTGAGGCTGCAGGGTGTGGAGATGGCTGCAGGAAGGGTCCGCACCCAGACGCTGCCCGGGGACCCACAGCCCCGCCAGCCTGCGGGGTGTGCTCAGACCCACTAGGTCCGGGGAGGGCCCGTACAGATGCATGATGGGTGGTGTCGGGCCCCCTGCCCAGACCCCTGGTCCCGTGGCCCACCAGCTCTGCTGTGCGGAAGCCCGGACATCAGGAGACGAGCAGGCGGTGGCATTACTGCACTGGGCACAGTGAGCGGCGGGGCGTTAATATGGATTAGAATGTGAGCCTGAGCCATCGCGCTGACTTTTATTTAGTCATTCATTTGTTGAAACGTTCCTGAAACACACCGCGGGCTGAGCGAGGCGCTCACTCCTCTCGGCGTCTAGAAAACAGGGTTTGGTTGCTCTCTCCCATTCACCATCTCCTCATCCTCAGAGACATCCAGCAGTGCGCTTCAGGGCCCAAGAGGCAGCACGTCTATGCGGTGGGTGAGGCAGAAAGAGGCCGGGGGTCTTCACGCCCGTACCAAGGGCCAGCAGGAATCATGGGGGTGCCCCAGCAGCCTTCCTCCCAGCGTCCCACATCACCAGAGACAGCCTGTTCCCAGACACCCCGTGTGAGGGGTGAAAGAGCTCGGTGTCCTTGGTTCTGGGAGCTCAGAGGCCGGGAGCGGGGCGGGGTGTATAAGCCGCCACCCCGCCAAGCTCCCAGTTCCTTGTCCCCTGTTTCCTGAGAGCCGGTCCTTGACTCAGCAGTCTCTGAGCCAGCTGGGTGGGACCCCAGACACCCAAAGGCCTGTCTAGATGGATGGCGGGAGGACTCAGCTCAGGAATTCCCAGGATGCAATCGATGGGAGATTGAAAGGAAACAGCCTGTAGGCTGGACTCGGCCTGATCAGTCGTGAAGGGGAGAGACACAGGGCTGGCCAGCCTCCCCCACATATTATTTATTGTCAGGGTGTGAGTCACATTGGCAGCTCCGGGCGGCACAACAGAGGGACTGCTCCTTCCCATTGGGGTCACTTACTGGGCTGGCTGAATGAAAGCGTAGAGCCCATTTCTCCTAGCCTCCCGGGCAGCCTGTCTGCCCAGCCCAGGTGGCACTTGCGGCCACCTCCCTGGAGACATGAGGTGGATGGGGACAGGGACTCTGACAGCCCTCCCCCCCCCCCTGAGGCCAAGGTGGCGGTCTCCTACATGAGTGGGTCCCGATGGCCACATATCCAGGGTGACCATCGTCTCTCCGTTCTTTTCCAGGGTGCTCTACGGGAACAAGATCACCGAGATTGCCAAGGGCCTGTTTGACGGGCTGGTGTCCCTGCAGCTGCTGTGAGTAGGAACTCATTGCTGTGTGTGTGTCTGGAGCCGTTGGCAGGCTCCGTCCTGCAAACTTGGACCCTTGCTCCGTAGAGTTCTTCTTTTGACTCTCCAACCCCCAGAAGGAAAAATTAAATCTGAGCTGTGCCCCTTACCTGCAGCACCTCCTTGTATTGGAAGGGGGGCCAGGGAGGGGGCAGAGGAAGTCCAAGGTCAGTGTGAACAAACGTAAAGGTCTCGGCTGGGAGCCTGGCCCAGGCATAGCACTCACCATAGGTTGGGGGCTGGAGATTAGGCCCGAGCTGAATCCTACAAGAAGAAGGAACTTAGGGGTATGTGCTAGGGATAGGGAACTGACACATACACCAAACCCCAGTCCTGAAGCCACAGAGCTGCCGGGAGACATGTGACCTTGAGGAGGGGGGGTGAGATAATTAGAGAGGAGCCTAATCAGTCACCGATGTGACTCTAGCTGGTAAGCTATGGCCGAGAGGGAAGTGTTTATTTCATTTAAGGAAGATTTGTTGCCTTGAGTTTTGAGCTCTGGGATTATTTATTTGCTTGTATTTCATTCTGGGCATTTGCGCTTTCGCACTTGAAGAAGATAAGTGAACTCTGATGTGGGGAGGTGAGGAAAGGAATTCAGCTCATCCTGCACTTTGCGACTGTCTGACGGGGGGAGTTACCTCTGGTTTATGAGTAGGTAGCTGTGGCATCTACATGCATATTCTGTGGGTGTGCGGGGTATGTGTGCATGTCCATGCCCATCTTGGCTCCGTGTACCATGATGCCTGCTGGGACCAGGAATCGCTCTGGAGTATCCTGTGAGCAATGGGGAGCAGAAGGTGTAGAAACTGCATAGAGCTCACGTGGCCCTGTGGCTCCGAAGGCTCCGCCCTCTGACTAGCACAGGATGTATGCTCACTGAGGTGTGCATCTGAGGTGTGCATCAAATAAATATGTGTGTGTGTGAATGTGTTCGTGTGTATGGTGAGTGTGCATGTGTGTGTGTGTGTGTATTTGTGTCTTTTCTGCTCAGCTGGCATGGCTCAGTGGTTGAGTGTTGAACTATGAACCAGGAGGCCACAGTTCCATTCCTGGGAACCGTGCAAAGGCACATGCCCAGGTTGCTGGCTCAATCCCCAGTAGGGGGTGTGCAGGAGGCACCCTCTCTCATCATTGATGTTTCTCTCTCTCCCTCTCCCTTCCTCTCTGAAATCAATGAAAATATTTTTTTAAATAAACTCACAGGCAGCGAGGAAGGGGAGAGGGAGCTCCTAAGCGGAGCTGCAGTGTGAGGTTGCAGACAGGGAGTCCGGTGGTCTCCGGGGGTGAGAGGCTGGAGCAAGGATGGAGAGCTGGAGGGCGGCAGCACGTCTCAATGGTGGCGCCCAGGACTCTTCCTATAAGAGGAAGTGAGGCTGTGCCTCCAGCCTTTCCCTCCTAAATCTTCCTCCCTGCCTCCTGATGTCCTTTAAGGCTCCGCCTGGACAGACTCTCGGACAACACAGCGTGTGAGTCATGTCGCGAAGAGGTGCCAGCCAGCTCCCAAGTAGCACGTCCATCCATCAGAGCAGTGGGCTGAGAGCAAGGGGACGGCTGGCTTTCTCTCTGCATCGCCCTCCGCTCTGTCTCGTGTCCGCCTCAAGGTGGGGCACGTTTGTGTCCAGAGGTCCCAGCCCTCTGGTTAGAAGGACAGGACAGGGCCCTGCTGGGCGCTGGGTGATGCCCAGATGATATTCTCTGTTTGTGGCAAAGAAACTGAATTAGAGCCGCCACCGCAAGGCTAGTTGACTGTAGCGATTAGTCCCTTGAAAGGAGAGTAGCCATGGCATCAGCCTCGAGGTGCATGGGGGAATGTTATGTCCCATGGGCTGGGGCAGTACTTTTTACGGGGTCCTTTTATAATCTGGATTTGGTGTGAGAAGGAAAATGCCCTTGCGTGTATGTGAAGGAGAAGCATAGTGAGCGTCCAGGAGCCGAGCACAGCACAAGGCACGCGGGGAAGGTTCGATAAATGTGCGTTTTTTAAAGGAAATGTCTCCCAACTTGGACTGCAGCTGTCAGGGTTAATAGACGTGCAGGGCTTTGCGTGGGCCAAGGAGGCCACTCCAGCTTCACATCATGATTTTAAGCAGATGGAACTGAGTAGCTGGGAGAACAGAAAAAGCGCACCATGCACACACACACACACACACACACACACACACACACGCCTCAGATTGACACAGCTCGGGCCTGCTGTTTGCAGAAAGGACCAGCAAGGGTCCCCGTCACGGGGCTCGGCCTGCTGAGCGCTGGAAGGAGGCCTGATTAGATCTCCGTTAGCGCTCAGTCCGCTGGAGACGGCTTTCTCCTCGTTAGACAGGCAGACATTCTGATAAGGAGGCTCTGATTAGAAGGCCGTGGCAGTCAGTAATTTCCTCTCCTGGGACTCCAAGGCCCCTTGCCGGAGGTTTGTGTTTTTCCTCCTCTCTGTCTGCCCGGGCATCACAAAGCCACGCTTTCCCCACGTGGAGTGGCCTTGGCTCTTTCCCTTGGGACACCTATCACGATGCTGCCAGGAAGAAAGTGGGTGGGGTGCGTGGTTGTTGGCTGTCCTGCCCTCCCTGCCTCTCCCCCATTCTCTAAACCTTTCAGCTTTCCCACCAAACTTGCCCAGCCCAGGACATACACAACCTTTTTCTTGCGTCGTTTCCAAAATAGCTGGTATGTCGCCTGGTACTTAATCCTGAACGGCGTCAGTGCGAACACACGTTCATCCGTTCATCCGTTATTAGCAAAGACCCTCATTATCTTTGGGGAGTGCGAAGCAGCCTGTTAGCTTCTAGCAGGGTGCTGGGAGGGAGTTGGGTGCCCATCTGAGCGAGGAGGGCGCTCAGAGACAGCCTCCAAACCTGCTGAGACCTGAGACATCTCAGAATCCAGGGTGAGGACTCTGGCACGTGCCCCCAACTCCAAGGACGGGAGCAGTTAGATGACCAGAGACGAGACCTCCCTCCATCTCTTCCTCACCGGAAGCATGGGTGTGCTTTGCCCCTCTCCATTCCTCTGCCCCCCAGGCTCCTGGGCTCCTGGGACTTCATGGAGTTGGTGATCCTGGGTGCACAGCCAGCAGAGTGCCCCCACCCCCCATCCCTCACCTTGCAGCTCAAGGGTCAGTGCTCCCTCCAGCAAGAAAAGAGGTCACTTCCTCCTCTGATGGGCGTCTGAAGGCTGCGCTGTGACAGCCCCCGTCCCGCCCCTTCCCCGGGGAAAAGAGCACTCGCGCAGAGATTGAGTGGCAGGCCTAGAAAGGCCACTCGCCTGGAGGTGGGAACTCTTGGGGGAACGCTGGCCACATCCAGCGTGAAGCCTGCTCCAGGAGGCCTTAAACCAAGCCTGACTGTCTTGGGGCTGGGATAAGTGAAGACAAGCCAGGCACCTGTTTGATTCTCTTGGAAGGCAGACAAGACCACTGGAGGACCTCGGAATTTGCCAAGCAAGATGCCAGTTACCGGGCAGCGAGCAAAACGTCGCTCCCTGCAGCTCACTTTCCCTTGCCAGCTGTTTTCCTAATTCGCCGCTGCTGCTAATAAACATGCTTGCTTTTACTGAGTGCTTCATGTGCACCATCCCATCGCATTTTACTGAAATGGTGAAAGCCCGCTTTACAGATGGGAAAACTGAGGCCCCGGAGGGTTGAGTGACCCAGCCATGGTCATCCAGCATGTAAGGGAGCGATGGAACCCAGGCAGTATGATCCTGGAACCCACACCAGAGACTCCTGCTGCAGATCCCGGCCCAGCAGGTCCACAGAACTACCTGGGGATCCCAGGACAGGAATCCTCACCGACTCAGCCAAGGAGGACGGGGCCGTGGTCAGCTCCTCTTGTGATGGATGCCTCGTCTCCACGAATGTGCTTTGGCTGGGGGTCACTGCCCCACCGATGCTCACCCTGCGCCCTGGGAGATGGCGATCAGGAGCTGCGGGTCCTTAAACGGGGAGAGGCAGATGCTGAGGATCCTCCCAGCAGGAGAGGCAGACATGGTCTCTGACTCACCCTGGAGGCAGCAATTCTTCCCTCTGCCCCGGAGCTTCCTAAGGAAAGCCCTTGGGGAGACACAAGTCTGGCGCCTTCCGTACTTGGTCATTGAATGAATGGCGGACTCCGCTTAAAGGACTTAGTAGTAACCAAGTAGCCATCAATGGGCAGGTTCCCTTCCCCCCGCCCCCACTTACTGCTGGGGGATGAAGGGACAAGCCTATGGCACCAGGGAAGGTCACTTGGTCTCCTGAAAGCAGGGGAGGGCTCCCCAACCCAGCTCTCGGATCTCAGCTTCCCGATGGTTGCTCAGCTGTGTGCACCCAGCCCCAGCACCTTCCCCCCCACCACCACTCCCCGAGGCTGTGGAGCTTGAAGGAGATCCTGTGTTTCAGACAGGCCATCTGATGGCATTGCTGCATTTGCAATTTCCCCTGCATCAGGCGTCACCATGACAACCAGTGGCCAGCAGTGCAGTCATTATCAGGAGAGATGCGGACAGTGTCCTTGCCCGTGGTTGGACTAGGAGTCCTTCCCCCTCCGCTCCCCCCCCCCACTCCCTGTCCTCTAGGGGGTATGTAGCATGACGTGGCCCGGAACACCCACGCACAGAGCAGAGGAGGATCTAGGCAGCTTAGAGTCCCCTGATATCTCAGTGCCAAGTGTCACCAGGCTCCTCCGGGCCAGGCCTCAGTAAGCTGCCAAAGGTCAGAATAAATCCCCATATTCCATGGGGGAAGGAGGAGAGCCTGTTTGTTCTAAGGCAGGAGAGTGGCTTTTGTACAATTAATGGGTAAAGAAATTCAGGATGGCAGAAGGTTAATTGTAGAGAAATTTTCTTAAAGATGAAGACAAATCGGTGAGGGAGGTTTGACTCTGTATCCTGCAGTGTAATCAGGGGTCCAGAGGAGCTCCCCTAACGGGTGTCTCCACTAATCGTTGATGCCGACGTGTGGTGGTGTGGGAGATGCCGGGAATACGTAGAGG